ACCCCCATTTTATAGACGAAGAAACTGAGGTATAGAAAAGGTAAGTGACTTGCCCAGGGTCACACAGCTAGTGTCTGAGGTCCTATTTGAACTCAGTTCTTTTTTGGTTATTTTTATTTTAGGCAATTGGGGTTAAGTGACTTGCCCAGGCTCACACACAGCTATTAAGTGTCAAGTGTTTGGTCTGGGGCCAGATCTGAACTCAGATCCTCCTGACGTCAGGGCCAGTGCTCTATCCACTGCACCACCTCGCTGCCCCTTTGAACACAGTTCTTCCTGAGTCCAAGTCCAGAGCTCTAAGTACCACGTCATGCTGCCTCTCCAGAACCCAGACCACTCCCACCCTACAATAAGGCATCAGAATGAGAGTGTAGTGAAGAAACTGTCCATAAGATTCTGTCTGGGAAGGGGAGTTGTGTTTGCCTGCTGACAGTGAAGTTTTACATTCTTTCCGTTGCTAACTCGAGGCTCAATGTTCAATAACCAAGCAGCCTATGATTAATTAAGGCCTACCTAATTTGCATAAAAGCTAATTCAACTCTCTGAAAGCAATTATTTCATTGTAGTTTACCAATTCTAGCAACCTCCAATTGAGGTAGCTGAGTGTAAGGCCAAAATCACATCTTATAACGAAAGAAAATGAAGACCTAATGGAAGAATGGAGCCCAGATACCATTGGAGACCAGGTGCCTGTCAGATACCAGGGGAGCCCAGATGCCAATCCTCTGGCCGTAAGAGGAGGCCCAGCCCAATAGTCCTGCATCAGGGCTTCATTCATATTTCTATTTTCTGTTTTTCTAACCAGACTGCCCTCTAGCTCTAGCCCATGACCATCACCTCATCTTTCCTCATCTCTTCTCCTTTCTCTAAAGAAAGCAGAAAGATAAACACAGTGAGAAGCCTGACTTTGAGCCCACACCCTCCTGTCACATGAAATGTAGAGGTGGAGAAGGAAGTAGCCTTACCCAGAGAGGGTGTTTATGAGACTAGGAGGAAGGAAAGAGGGAGAAGAAACGGACAAAGGAGGTGGAGGACAGGAGTCAGAAGAGCATAGTTTAGGGCTGAAAGGAGCCTTAGAGGCCATCTGGTTCAGCCCCATTCATTTTACAAGTGAGGAAACTGAGGCACGGTAGTGAAGTGACTTGCCCAAGGTCACACAGTTATTAAGTGTCAGAGGCAAGATTTAAACCCAGGCTTTCCTGGCTCTAAGTCTCGTCCTCTATCCACTGTACCACCATTTATCTCACTAGTCACTGAAGGTTCCCTTCCCATGTGCCAGAAAGAAACTGAGATAATATCTGCAGATCAAACAAATGACTAGAAATGTCACTGCTCAGAATGTTCGGCTTACAACCAGACCACATAGGGACGGCTGATTAATCAGCCCACAATTCATTATGCAGTACTTAAAGAATTATAGAGCGCCTTCTTCCCAATGACCTTGATATGGGCAGGGTAACTATTGGTATCCTTCATTTTACAGATGAGGAAACTGAGGTTTAGATTAAATGACATGGTAATAAAGCCAGGACTCAGACCCAGACGTCCTAGCTCCCAAGTCAAGGACTTTTTCCAGTCCCATATCCCTTTGCCTTTCCCTCATCAGCTGATTCAATATCAGTAGCAAAAAGAAAGGGCACCGATATCACCCTTCTCTGAAGCTCTCAGTGTTCTTTATAGACATTAAAAATACAAGGCAATAAACATTCTAAAAAATTTTAATTATGAGAGAGCTAAAACATTAAAAAAAAATTTCTCCCCCAGATGCAAATGTGCTAAGTCAAGGAAGAGCCCAGAAACCAAATCCCGAAGCCCGGCCTCTCAGTGCCCAATCCACAGCTCCATTTACACAGGAAAGGAGCAGAAACAGAAATGGAGCAGATATAGAAAGCAAGCTGCAAGATCTACCAAGCCAGTGAGTATTCAGAAAGAAGACACCAAGTGCCAAGATAATCCAGACGCTATGCTTCCCCCAGATACACTGGGGAAAAGGAAAGGACAGCCCCAGAACAAGCCCGATTAAGTGGAGAGTCCACAATCCACGTCTCAGAGGCACAAGAAAGACACCCCAAGCACAGACCCCAGCAAGAGCCGAGGGGCCTTTCCCCTGGTGACTTAGCTTAGGAATTCCAAGAGGCTCTGAGATTCCCAGAAGCAGGAGAGAGATGAGTAGATGCTGAAATAAGCGTGTGTTAGTTTTCTCTCTGAGAGTCAACCGAGCCCCCGACAGTCAGGTCCGTACTACTTACAGTTCAGTGCCAGCAGTCAATGGGAGCTGCTGCTATTTCAGCCCGACGGAAAGCCCGATGATCAGAGCTAAAATGCCCAGGACCACCACAACTATGATAATGATAATTACCATTTTCTGGAGGGAGGCATAAGAGAGAGGAAGAAGAAATTATCATAAATAACCAAGAAGTACAAATTAGCTGGCTACGATCCTCTCACAAAGGAGGAATTAATTAGCAAGCCTGGTAATTGAAGTGATGAACACAAAAGACATTCTCAAATCAAGTTTTTAAAGACAATTTCAGTTCAGAGAATAGTAGACCTTGTCACGCCAGGAAATCCACTGCTGAGAAGGCCACTTCCATAGTAGTAAACAGGCTAAGAATAGGCTGAGGAAAAGGGCCTCTTGGCTACCTGGTAATTTCCTATTTTAACTCATTATTTATAAGTAACCTGCTAAAGGATAGCAAATGCTATCAACACTCTAAATTTTGATGCTCTGGGACAAAGTCTCTGTTATCCCACCCTTGTTATGGCTAGGTCATCTCTGCAATGAAAGAAGCATTCTTTCTGTATCCCAGAGAATCGGGCAGTTATCCCTTTGAAGAGTAGCAATAGCTTCTGACCTCAACAAAATGTGTGTCAAGTAACCGAATATCTAAATATTCTTCTTAAGTGAGAATGTAAGTTTCTTAAAAGTAAGCAAGTTTTGTTTTTGTCTTTGTATAAATGAGGAAACTGAAGTCCCCCTTTATACAGGTGAGGAAACTGAGCCTCTCCCCCTCACTGTACAGATGAAGAAAGCAAAGGCCACTTCATTGCACAAACTGAGGGGCCATTACATCTCATATAGTGTCCAATACACAATAAGGGCTTAATAAATGCCTGTTGTTGGACTAATGCCTAATGAATGTTGACCTGGACTGAATTGAATGCCAGCAGGGAGGGATATGAAATTATTCCAAGCTTCCGCATAACAACTACTACTACCACTACTACTACTACCACTACTACTACTACTACTACTACTACTACCACTACTACTACTACTACTACTACCACTACTACTACTACTACTACTACCACTACTACTACTACTACTACTACCACCACTACTACTACTACTACTACCACCACTACTACTACTACTACTACACCACTACTACTACTACTACTACTACTAACTACTACTACTACTACTACTACTACTACTACTACTACTACTACTACTACTACTACTACTACTACTACTACTACTACTGATAGCTGACATTTAAATAGCACTTCCAATTTTTACACTTCTTTACATTCATAGTCTCCTTTGATCCTCACAAAAATCCAGGTTCAATAGATGTTATACCTCCATTTTACAGATGAGGAAAATCAGCTCAGAGAGATGAAATGACTTGCTTGGGTCATATAGCTTGCAAATGTCAGAGCCAGGATTTGAACCCAGATCTCTCTTGAATCCATACCCAGCACACTGTCCACTAAACCAAACTGCCTGTCATCTCTCCTTAGGGATTAATAAATTGGAAGGGGGAGGGGTTACTATCACCCCAGCATTCCTAGGGCATGCTATGAGATAGAGCTCTAGAACAGCAAACTAGAATACAACGAGATCTCTGAAGAGAAGGCATGGTTAAGAGCAGCCCAGAAGTATTCTGTAGAGGAGGTTTCTAGCTCCCTTAAACCCAATATAGAAAACAGTTAAGCTTGGAAGAGAAACCAAAGATAGCAATGATGCCAGATGTCAAGAAACCAGGGAGAAAGAAAAGTCAGAGAAACTGCCACCGCTTAGAGCAAGGTCCCGATTAAGAAGGAACTGACAAGGGTGAGCATTCTGACAGAACCGCTTCTATTTCTACAGTGCACTGTGATTTTCCCAGTGCTCACATCACCCAGCTAGTAAATGACAGAGTCAGGATCAGAGCCCAGGTCATCTCACTCCAAGTCATGGTGCCACACTGTCTCTCTAAAATGCCACCATTATGCCAGAAGTGGGGTTTGACACTAGGCTCACTGGTGCTTCAGTCCAAGTCCACTTTGTCATTCTGATTGCTAAAGTAACCAAGTACCCGGGATAGGAGAGGCACAGCCCTCCTGTCCGAGGCCAAAGCAAACCTCTGGAGAAGAGAGTCCAAGGTCATGTTCTGAAAGCACTTGGCTACCAATCAGGCCCAATAAGAGGTAAGATTTAGGCGTAACGCCTAAATCACTGTCTTCAAGGGTTCTGGCTTATAGATTCAGTCTGTGAGGACCCTTAAAGACTATCTGGCACAAATGAGGAAACCCAAAGTCCCCATTGGACAGACGAGGAAACTGGGGTCCCAACTGTATGTAGAAGGAAACCAAGAGCCCAAATTGTACAGACCCCAGGTCCCATTGCACACAGGAGAAAACCAAGGACTCCTGTTATACAGATGAGGAAATAGAGGGCCTCTACTGGACAGATAAAAAAACCAAGGGCCCCTATTGTATGGGTGTTCCTCACTGTGCAGTAAGAAACCTGAGCCCCAGAGAGGAAGTGATATACTCAAAGGGCACATAATTAGTCAGAAAGCCTGTAACTCAAACCCACCTCATGTGACTCCCAGTCCAGCACCTTCCACATGCCTGAGCCTGTACAAGAACAGGATTCATGCCAGTCCAAAACGGGAATAAAGGGGTGGGAGTGATTCTACTGGGAAGACTGAGGCAGGGGACGGACAGACAGGAAGGGCCGACCAGGAAGGGGACAGGGCAGGTGGTGCCGAGGCTGAGGCTCTCACCCTCCGAGCTTCACTCTGGAATTTCACAGCCTTTTTGGTGTCGGCCACAGCAGTCTCCACGAAGCCCACTGACTGGTCCATGTTGTTCTCAATGCGATCAATCATGGCTCCCTTTCCAGGGATATGAGAGGCGGCAGCAGAAAGCAGAGATGGCACGACAGAAAATAGGAAAGAGAAATAGCAGGCAAGGTAGGTGCTCTCTTCAGGCAAGGCCCCAGGGAACTCTCACCTTCCGGGCCTGACTACGATATTTCACCGCCTTCTTGGTCTCCTCCCGAGCCTTCTCCACATGGTCCACAGTATGCATCACATTCAGTTCTATGTTATCTATCATCTCCCCCTGTGAAGGACAGATACTGGTCACATTCTGCACAAAGCCCAACTCCCACACCTCAGGGCTGCTGACCCCATGGTTGATCACCCATAGCCAAGAGTAGATTGAGCCCAGGAATCTTGACTTAGGTTAGGACTGGAAGAGGCCTTAGTGGTCATCTTATTTATGAGGAAGAAAAATGCCTTGCCCAAGTGGCATCACAGATTTAGAACTGGAAGACACCTCAGGCTGATCATCTAGTCCAATCTGATCATTTCACTGATAGGGAAACTGAGGCCCAGAGATGAAGTGAATTTAACACCGTTAACACCAGTGAATTAACATCAGGTCAAGTTTCACACTTACTAAGGGCTCAAGGTACATGCTCTCATGTGATCCTCATGATCTCTGAGGCAGGAAGTATGAGTATTTTCAGCCTTACTTTGCAGATGAGGATGCTCAAGCTCGTGCAAAGTTGTCCCATTATCAAGGAACAGGGTCAGGAAGAGAAAAGCCAGGCCTTTGAATGCCAATCCAGCGCTCTCCTAGCCCACACTTCCTTCCCCACAGGCCTTGTATCACCCACTCTGGGAGTTGGTCAGGACGCTATATTCTCCTGGTTCATCTGGTTCTTTCTGAACCAGAGGCTCAGTCCTTAATGGGATCCTGGTTTCCTCAAAGGCCATCTCACAATGATTTTCTTATAATATCATTTAAGACAGGGGTTCTTTTATTTTATTTAATTTTGTGTGTGTGTGTGAGGCAGTTGGGGTTAAGCGACTTACCCAAAGTCACACAGCCAGTGAGTGTTATATGTCTGAGGCCGGATTTGAACTCAGGTCCTCCTGACTCCAGGGCCAGTGCTCTATCCACTGTGCCACCTAGCTGCCCCAAGACAGGGGTTCTTAATCCAGGCTCCATGAACTTGGTTTATTTTATTTTTAAGTATTTTAATAACTGTTTCAATATGATTGGTTTCCTTTGTAATTCTTTGTAATAAAATGTAATTTTATTTTATGCATTTGAACAGTTTATTCTGGGCAGGGATCCATACGCTTTACCAGACTGTTAAAATGGCCCATGTAACAGAAGAATCCAAGAACCTTGGCTGGGCCATAAGTGATGGAGGAGTTTGGCCTACCCAAGCGGTGTTTGCAGACTCCTTCCTCTCCCTCCTCCAGGAAGGAGTCTCTGAATGAGATCTCTTACCCCTTTCATACACTCATCATCCCCACTTCTTGTGGCAAGAATCTAAATCCTCTCTTCAGTCCATTCCCTGGTATACAAAAGGTGAAGGTCCCAGGCCCCATATGCACCAAAACCTCCTCAGCCCTTCCCCGTCACTGGAGACTAGACCAGAAAGAGAAAAAGAGACCACTCACCGTTCCCCAAGTCTCACACCCGATCCTCGCATGGCAGTGAGAGCAAAAAAAAAAAACAAACAGAAAGTGGAAGAGGAGAACTTGAGAAGTGGGTGCTAAGGTCTGGAGCGGAACATCTACAGCCCCTGGCACCTGAGATCAAGTAAGCTCAAACAGGAAGAAGAGAGAAGGGGAGATTCCTACCCGAGGTTCAGAGAAGTGACTCACACACAATCACAAAGCTAATTTGGGGCCCAGCCAGGAACACAAGACTCGGGGTTGGAAAGAACCTTAAGGAAACTCTAATGCAGATTCTCATGTTAGAGATGGGGAAACAGAATCCCCAAGAAAGAAGATGACCTGGCCATGGTTATACGGTCAGTATGTGGCACAGCCAGAATTTAAAACTAGATTCCACGCTCTTCCTATCATTTTATATTGGTCTTCCAGCCAGGACTTAGATTAAACCTGGCTGCCTCCTCCTAAGGCTTGGAATTCCTCCTGGTCTGATGCCCTCCATGGCCACTGAATCATCCCCTTCCTGCCTCCTTCCCTGGGTCCTAGGCTGTGCCCTCCTCCTGCTGCTCACTGCCCCAGGTCAAGTTACCTGGTTTTCCACTAGCATGGCGATATCCACAAACATGTCGTGTAGCTCCTTGATGCTGCTCTCGAGCCGGACGATGTCCTTGTGTCGTCCTTCGATCTCACTGAGGGCTTGCTTAGAGATCTGAGAGTCAATGATCTACAACACATCGCTTCACGTTACACATGCGACCCCCGATCCTGGCAGGCATCTGCCGGTCTTGTCTTCTCCCGCCTTCCTCCCTCTGGATCGCTCTCTCTCTAGGTCTCTGCCTCTCTCTCACACTTTCTGTCTGTGTCTGTCTGTCTGTCTGTCTCTCTCTCTCTCTCTCTCTCACACACACACACACACACACACCCTTCATTCAAACTGTTATTTAGTACCTACTAGGTACAAGGCAAGAGGGAACATGGCACAGCGGATAGAGGGCCAGTCTTGAAATCAGAAGGACCTGAGTTTTAAGTCCTTCCACAGACACATAACTAACTATCTGTGAGTCTCTGGGCAAGTCGCTTAACCTCTAATTGCCCTAACCCTTCAAGACACAAGTTCTTCATCAGTGGAAAGAATTTTTTTCAATGGGAGTTTCCCATAGTGGAAAAAAAAAATCACAGGTTACAATTAGGCTTCGGATAATCCAAACCCAGGGCTGGGAAACCTGCAGCCTCGAGGCCACATGTAGCCCTCTCAATCCTCAAGTTCGGCCCTTTGACTGAACTTCACAGAACAAATCCCCTTAATAAAAGGATTTGTTTTTAAAAACTTGGACTCAATCAAAAGGCCACACCCAAGGACCTAGAAGGCCACCACAGGTTCCCCACCCCTGCCCCAACCCCTACCCCCACAAAAAGGTCAATGTTCCATACTTAGGGAATCAGACTTGTCATTTCACTGGAGGGAATGCCCAGCGAGGACATCCCACCTCCCAATGCGGCCCAGCAAGTGTTCCTAAGTCACGGGATATTCAGAGATTACGTAACTTGCTCAGGACCACTAGCGCCCATGTGTCAGTCAACGAGCATTTATTAAACACCCACTACATGCCAGGCCCAGTGCTAAATGCTGGAGGTTCCTTTGAAAAGGCAGTAAAAGTCCTCATCCTCATCCCCCGGGTGCTCTCATTCTAACGGAGGAGATGATGCACAGCCCCGTGCATAGAAGAGACATAGAGCAAGAGTGGGAAGTTAATCTCAGAGGGAAGGCACCTTGGGAGCCAGGGGAAGGGCCAGCAGAGGCCTGCTTCCTGGCAGTGGCCAAAAGTGGAACCTGAGACGACTCCTGAAGGAAGCCAGGAGGTTGAGACAGGAGAGAGAGCTGGGCTTGAACAAAAATTTTTCTGACGCCAGGACCGGCTCTCTAACCAGCATACCACACTGCCTCCAGTTCAAGGACACAGAGATGAATAAGGTTCAGGCCCAGGTGTGGAACAGCTTTACAAGCTCACTTAATTATGCTGAGACAAAAGGGAACAGCAGGAAACTAGATGGAGTGCTCTAGGTAGACTGAGGCAGGAGCAGCCACTTTTAGCTAAGAGGTGAGGAGGGGGAGAGTGGGAATGAGGGCACCCCACCCTTCGCTTTCCCCATACTCCCAATTCCGAGCTCTTCCCTTGGTTTCTCCAAAGGCCCCTGCCTCTCAACGCCAGGCACTAATGCAAGCTCCCTGAGGGCAGGAACTGTTTCCTTTTTCTCTTTGTCTTGCCATCAGCCAGCACAGTGTCTGGCCCAGAGCAGGTGATTAAGAAATGCTTGCAACCGATTGGTGGATCCCCGCTCCATCAAAGCTCGATGTTCCCCTTCCGACCCCCCCAATCCTTCCTCTTCTTGGAACACTCACCCCAGAAGTGAAAATGGCTGGGTTTCCGCTCTCCAGCATCTCTTCCAATTCCTCATCTGTGGTTTTCTTGCCAGCTTTACCCCAAAGGAAAGAGGATGTCAGACACAGAAAATCAGAACACATCCTTTAGCAGGCATCCTGGAAACTAGGCCTGAGGGGAACATATTGTAAAACCATGGTAAAAGTAAAAGATTTTGGTTAATGTAGCCACTGAGCACTCCCTCTCGACTGCTAGGGCTAAGACAAAAGCCGTATGATTGGGAAGAGCATTACCCTATGGTGTCTAGAACACTGGACCTAGAATTCAGGAAAGCATGGGTTCAAATTCAATCCCTGACATTTACTAGCTGTCAGGCAACCTCCCTAAGCTATCTGAGCCTCAGTTTCCTCGTGTGTAAAATGAGGAGGGTGGCCTTTAAGCCACCTATAGGTACTAGGTAACTCTAGGTTCAGGAAAAAAAGAGAATTATAAATTGCAGGGCTGGTAAGAACCATCAGAGCATAGTAAAAGAAAGCTTTGGACCTGAAAAAGGGAAGGCCAGGCTCTGACACCTATAAGCTGTGTGGCCTTGAGCCAGCCACTTACGCTCTCTGAGCCTCAGTTTTCTCCTGGGTAAAATGAGGGGTCTAGATCAGACAGCCTTCAAAGACCCTACTGGTCCAGGTCTCTCTGTGCTACGATTCCACAATAAATTGTAACGGAGCTAGAACGTGACTGTCTTCTCCACTCTGTCCAGCAGGGGGCGTCCTAAGCCCTGGCAAACAACGCCTGGGGCTGCCACCAGAAATCTGGCCTGGGCCAAAGCCACCTCCCAGCCTTCGAGCGATGGGCAGTAGTCATGAGCAGGGGTTGTAGGATGAGTAGAGGCCCACGTTCCCTCCAAGAACATACTGATTTCCAATTGCCTCTGGATGCGCCCTTTACTGCGTTCTCGGAAGTCCACCTGGGCTTCATTGTACTTCGTCATCACTTCCACAAACTTCCGGGAGAGGACAGAGTGCTGTGGGCAGAGGGAGGGAGGTGAGGGGAAGACAGACACTATTGTACTGTGCTCCTAGCCCTCCGAGATCCAGCCCTACTTTATCCAGTATCATCTCTGACTAGACCTGAAATCCAGAGAAAACTGCTCTACATGTATCAAAAGTTCTCACACTCATGGTCTACAATTACGGGGTTCTTAATCTGAGGTCCATAAACTTTTTTTTAAAATATAGAACATTAGTAACAATAAAAAATTATACTGAAATTAACTCATGTTGATATATTTAGATACAATTTATCTATTGTTATTAATATTATGTAGTTTACAATATATGTTATATATTTGGGCAGCTAGGTGGCACAGTGGACAGAGTACTGTGCCTGGAATCAGGATGACTGATTTTCATGAGTTCAAATCTGGTCTCAGACTCTTACCAGCTGTGGGAACCTGGGCAAGTCACTTAACTCTGTTTGCCGCAGTTTCCTCATCCATAAAATGAGCTGGAGAAAGAAATGGCAAACCACTCCAGTCTCTTTGCCAAGAAAACCTCAAATGGGGTCACGAAGAGTCAAACACAACTGAAAAACGACTGAACAAATGAACTGTATATTTACGTTGATTAACTTCAGTATAATCCATTTCCTTTGCAATCCTCTTTTATTTTTTGCCTTTTAAAGACCTTCTTCTGAGAAGGGATCCATAGGTTTCCCCAGATTGCCCAAGGGGGCCAGAACATGAAAAAGGTTAAGCACCCTCTCTTTAGGGAAAGTCTTCTACATCCTCCATGGCATGCTCCCTGATTACCCCGGCTCACACTGATCTCTCCCTTCTAGTCCTATAGTATTTATTATCTGATCCTCCAAAACATTCTATTCATTTCTATTTGATTCCAATCCTGGTTCTCTGCCAGTTCTATTAGCTAGCTGACTTTGGACATGTCACTTCATGTCTCCGGGACTCCACCACCTCCTCTTTAAAATAAAGGGTTAGATTATTTAGAATACTAAGACCCCTTCCAGCTCTAAAGCCTATAAATGCCCTCTGAACCCTGTCACTCCAGGTCTTCTCAATCTTCGGGCCCTCCCCCTGAGACCACCTCCCACTTATCCCAAATATATCTTGTTTATATATACTACTGTCTCCCCCATTTAGCATGGTGCCTGGCAAATAGTAGGTGTTTAATAAATGCTAGTTGACTGACCACCTTCTTTAGGTGTCCTCCAGTTGCTTCATGTGTGCAAAATCAATTCTCCCTGACCAGACTGTAAACACTTTAAGGACAGGGACCATAGATTTGTCTTATTCCTACAGCACCTCACATAGAGTTGGGCCCACAAAAAGGATTCGGTGGATACTGTCTGACTTAATCCCATGAGAGCAAAGGCCAAGAGCTAAGCACTGCACCTGGGATTTCCGTATCCGAAGATCTGCCGACGACCGCACCTCATCTTGCTCAATGTGCCTCTCCATGTCTAGAAATGGATCAGAGTCATAGCGTTTCTGAGTTAAAGAGACCTCGGGGCCATCTAGCCTAACCCATCCCTGAAAAACAACTGCTTCTGCAACAGGTAACAAGTGGGCATCTAGAAGCCCCCAAATGGAAGAAATCCCACACCTCCCAAGGCTGCCCATCCTGCTTCTGGACAATCCTCCTCAATAGGAACTTTTTCCTGACATCAAGTTTCAATCTGCCTTTTTGAAACCTCCTTCCACTGTTCCTACTTCATCCCTCTTTACCCAGGAAGGTAATTCTAATTGTTCTTCCACATCATAATACTTTCAAATCAACTCTCTTCCATATTCTCCCACCAAATGGCTCATCCTCTCCATCCCAAACACCCCCAAGTTCTTTCAACCAGTCCTCATGTGACATGAACTCAAGGCCCTTCACCTCCCTAGCTGCCCCACTCTAGATGTTCTCCAACTTAGCAATGGCCTTCACCAATCATGGAGAGCCTAGTACTCTGGTTGTGTTCTAACCAGGGTCCTAGACACCAGAACCCCACCCCACCCAACCCCGACTATCACTAGAAATAGAGGTGCTCCATAACCCAGCCCAGATCAGGTCACGTCCTCTCCACCAGTGAGAAATCATGACATCTCCTAGAGCAGCACCTCCCCGAGTCCTCATTTGTCCCCATGCACCTCATCCATGCCCCAACAAAGTGACATAATTGTATGTGCCACAGAAGGGGATCTGGGAAGTTATATGCGAAAGTGTCCCTGGGAAAGAAAGGCTGATGGGGAAGAGAAGAAGCAATTCCCCAGAAAATGCAAATTAGCCAAGAGGCAGAAAAGAGGCAAAGTCCTCCTTGGCCAGGAGGGGTGATGAGGAGGGAGACACCATCAGCTATGAGCAGGGTTTCAACAGCAGGATAGGAAACATTTGAGGATCAGGACAGCTCAGAGATAGTTTCTTTCTTACTCTTTAGCTTGTTCCGGACGCTATTGGCCATTTTCTTAATCTCTGCTGTTAACTGTTCTAGGTCATCCTTTGTTTCTGAGGAAACAGAGGCAGAGGAAAAAAATTAGGGGGGCAGGAGATGTTTGTAGATATAAGCATCAACAGAGGAGAGCTGGAGCTCTCGGTCCATCCAGGAGAATCAAAGAATTCCTCACAAGAGCTTCAAAGGTTCAGAGAGAAGACCTTAACAATCATTCGTTCCTGCTTCTTCATTTTAGAGAGAAATAAAGTAAGATCCAGAGAAGGGAAATTATTTAACCAAGGTCATGCACCAAGAAGAGATGATGACACTCACTGGGTCTCATGAGAGAATATCCAAGCAATATTCACCAACCCAGCTCTGTGACCTGAAGCTCCTGTATTACTTTGGGCAGATCATATCCCTCCTCTGGGCCTCAGTTTCCTCCTCTGTAATCATGAAGGGGTGGGATAGGATGGACCCTACACTCCCTTCCATCTCTAAATCTAGGATTCCATGATCCCAGAATCTGTAACATGAAATAATTATAGACGATTAGTAATTAAGTCCTAGAAACTGTCATTTTGACTGTGAACACCTAAGAAGTTCTGAGAAGGAAGAGTTCTATGAGAGCTGGGTTAGGAAACTTCATGGAAAAGTAGGATTGATGTGTGCCTCGGAGAATGGCTCAGATTTGGATTGTCCTATGGGACAATGGTAACAAATTGGGAGGAGGGGGAGTGAGGGGAGATTGAAAAAAAAAATCACAGAGGAGAAAAAGCTACAGGGTGTTTAAGGGAGACACAGCAGGAGGCTCATCTGCCAGAAGCTGAGTAATAAGTGAGTGGTGGGGACAAGTTGGACAGGTAGAAGGGGCCTATGGCCATATGAGGTAGAAGGTGCTATTTAACATCATCATTAATGCAGCAGCTCTGCTGTACACAGCACCTGTTGGAAACTGAGGTTGGCTTGACGAGATGGAAAAAGACATCTCGTGGTGAATCAGCTCTGGGTGAAAACTCACTTGGTTCTGGGATTGGCGCTGACAGGATGATGCTGTAAAGTTTCTTAGCTCCTTCTACGTTCTCTGCAATCTTGTCGATGCTGAGCCGCGTTTCCTCAATCTAGAAAGGGAGGTAGAAATACCCTTGTCATTAGCAAGACAACTGTTGAATTCTTATTAGAGTTTCCTGCTGAGTCCACTCTCTTCTCCTGGCTTTGTTGAGGCGGAAATAATTAAATGGATCCTGGAACGGCCAATTGAATATGCTTTCCAAGAGCGATGAGTCCACAGTCAATAGATAGTCCCTTGGGTCTCCCTACTCATTGCCAGTGGAACAGAATGATTTGGGAAAAGCCAAACTTTCACTTGGAATATTGAAGCTAGGGTCAAGCAGACAGATCCAAAGGAAGGATAGAGCAGGGGTTCTTAACCTTATGTAATGTCTGCACCCCTTGGACAGTCTGTCTAGTGATGCCTATGGACCCGTCCCAAAATGTTTTTAAATAACTAGAGAAGGTGCTAAGTTTAGTCAGAGCTTAATGAAAAATAAAGATGTCCTTGTTTTTCCCATTCAAGTTCACAGACCCCCTGAAATCTCTCCAAGGACCCCCTGGGGATTAAGAACCTCGGGGCTAGAAGTATCCAAGAAGATGAAGCCATGGGGACAGATATATCATCACATCCAGAAGATCTGGTCTCAAATTCCAGCTCTGCCATTTATAAGCCAGATGTCCTCTCTGGGCCTCCGACGAGATGACCTCTAATCAATCAATCAATCCGTGAGCGTCTACAAAGCACCTCCTCTGCCAGCGGGGCAACTGCTGATTCTGGAGTCTTGTTGGGCACGTGTCAGAGGTGACAGGCCCGTGAACTGGAAGTTACACCCGGGAAATCACGCTCCTGCAGGCGTGGACTGAGTGATTATTTGGCCTCTGCACATTCCTGAACCTGATTGTACAACTACGAGACCATAAAACAGTCACAGGAGCACTCTGTCCTGGCGATGGACAGTGTCACAAGACAGTCCTAAGATTAACTAATAAGCATCCGGGAAGGATATCTCTCTCTCTCTTGCTCACTCTCTCCTGTCTCTGTCTCTTTCTGTCTCTCACAAGATACAGGAACCCAATATTACACTCTTATGGAATGTCATGGTAATTAGAAAGGTGAAGGTACAAGGAGAAATGACCCAACCATCTCACTAATGGGCCTATGTCCCAAGTAGGGGAAGGCAACAAGGGCCAATATAGACCAAAACATTCACAGCATTCCCTTTTGTAGCAAAAACTAGAAACCAAGAGGGTAACCATTTTATTGGGTAACAGCTGAACAAACTATAGTATATGAACATAATGAAATATTGCCCGTAAATAAAATATAGATGGCATGCCACAGTGAACAGGACACTGGTCAGGAGGTGAGGTCATAAAGACCTAGAATCAAGTCCTGCCTGAGAATCTGACTAGTTTTGTGACCCTGGGCAACTCATCTAATCTCTGTGCCTCAGTTTCCTCAGTTGTAAAAAAAAAAGGGGATTAGATGGAACGACAGTTTAGATCCCTTCAAGCTTAAAATCTACTACTTCTGACATAATTTCAAGGGATTAAAAGAATCATGGGAAATCTTGTGGAACTGAACAGATTATAAATAATAACTATAATAATATAAATGAAAACAACACTGAAAGAGAAATTAATTCTGATTAATTGTAATTGTCAGCATTGGCACCAGAGAAAGATGGGCCACACACTTCTCTTAGTAGATGGGAGTGAGTATGAGCGATGCGGGGGGGTGGGGGGAGGAGTGCCACATAAGAATAATATTGTGTCTTAAGGTTTGGAAAGCACTTTATGTATGAAATCAGATTTGTTCCTCACAACAACCCATTTTACAGAGGAGGAATCTTAACCTCAGTCTCCGTTTCCTCCTCAGTAAAATGGGGCTGCGATAGCACCCACCACCCTTGGGCTGTTGTGAGGATAAAGTGAGGTAATATTTGCAAAGTACTTTGTAAACCTTGAACACTATATGAATGCTATTGCTGTTATACGATTTTGCTCAGTTACACAGGTAACGTGGGAGTCAAGATCTGACCGCAGGTGTGTCTGATGCTCAGTGGAGCTTTCTAACCACTGGGCCACCTTGCTGCCTCCACAGATTTGGAAGGTGGCATACACTGTTCGATGTGTGTGGGGACTGCGTTGGTGGCTTTGGTATAACTGCCTTTCCTGAGTTGGAAGAGAGCTGCATCCAGTGACCGTGATGCAAAAACAAGACATCCTCCTAAAAAAGGTTCCATAAAATGGAGATGCTCGCACAACCAGAGAAGGGCCCAATGCCCTCAATGACCCCAACTCCAACAGGGCGGCTGGCCGCACCAGGCCCTGAAACAAGGACCAGAAAAGAAATAAATGTGAAGAAAGAACAGTCTGTCTCCTCAGGGCTTAGGAAACCTACAGCCAATTCGCAGCACAAAGGCCTGCATCCCTTCCTCCCTTCCAGTGTGTGCCACACGGGGCTATAAGAGCTTCTTCTCTCCTCCTGACTCCCTAAAAGGTCACCTGCAAAGTACAGAAACAAAAAAAGACTAAGGACCTGTCACTGCCTCGTCACATCAGCACACTGCAGGAGCGTCTGCACAGAAATGGCGCCCGGGGACACTTGTCAGGTATGTTAGCGTGAGGATCTGCATCTGAGTTACACTAGATGGCCCCCGAGGCCCCTTCCAACTCTCTGAGCCTGTGAACAAATCCTCTTCTTCCACCCATTCATTCTCTCTCATTTGGAAGATGGTCTTTAAGACATTCGGGGTCCAAGAAGACGGTGATGACTCTCTCCAGACTGCGCTGGGCTGCTCCAGTCAGTCCACCTCTAGGCGCACCCACCAAACCTTTCCAGGATGATCGAGCCTGCCGGCACTCTCATCTTGCTGGCATGGTCTTTGAGGACCTAGGGTCATTTCGTCACCATGAATAAGCAAAGCACAACTTTAGGGGAGACGGAATAAAGTCTAGTTTTCCTAACTCTCAAATTAGCACCCTAACCACTGAACCGCACCACTTCTCCTGCTTGTCACTGCTTGACATGACCTTCAAGGGTCCACTGGGAACCCGCCGTGGTTGAGGCTAGCAGTATCCTCGTTATCCAAAGATAACCCTCTAAGCTCCCTTCACCACCCCCACTTTTCACAAAATCCCAAGCACTATCAACATTAAAAATGACATGTTTTGGGTTACAATGAGATCAAAAGCCCTAGGCTGTACCTACCTAATGGATTAGCTTTCTCAGAAAATCTCTAAAAAGTACTTCCTATTCAGAATAATCCCGGGGCCTACAGGCTGACAGTGACAGGCCAGAGGATAGTACGTGAGCCCTGGAGTTGGAGTCAGACCTAACTTCCTGTCTGAGAGCTTTCTAGCTGTATAAGCTAGGGAAATTTCCTTCCCCTCACTAAACTAAGGTTTCCTCCAGATCTAACTCCACTGAACCATGGAATTTTGGAGCTGGAAGGGCCCCTAGTGACCATCTAGTACAACACAGTACTTAGCATGACGCTTAGCACAAAGTAGGTGCCTAATAAATGTTTTTTGATTGACTGACCCACGGGAGGGTCTGCTTCACTAAACCGAAGTTTTTGGTTCCTGTGTTTATATATACTGGCCACAAATTCAGCTAGAGTGAGCACTGAGTTAAGCAAATTTTAGTGAACATTTATTGAATGGAGGTGAATGAGATAAATGTTTATAATCACTTGGTGAGTTTACAGGTCAATTCAACATTCCTCAAGGACAGAATGATTTCTTAGAACTTTGTAAAAGACTCTGTTGAGGGGCAGCTAGGTGGCAGAGTGGAGAGAGTACCAGCCCTGGATTCAAGAGGACCTGAATTCAAATCTGGCCTCAGACACATAACACTTAGTGGCTTTGTGACCCTGGGCAAGTCACTTAACCCCACTGCCTAGCCAAAAAGAAAAAAGAAAGACAGCACCAGTTGTCCCCAACTGTCCAATAGTTTGGTACAACCCACAGTGCCATGTGCATAATAGTTCCAGTTGTATAGGTGCCAGCTAACCAGAGTTCTGCTATACGGAACCAGCCAATAAAAAAACTCAGACCTGCAGCTATATATGCTTGCCAAATCAAGGATCTCAACAGTCTTTCACTCTCTCTTGAGATAGCATGGTATGGTTAAAAAAAGAAAAAAGCAATGGACTTATAGTCGGGAGAATCTCAATTTGAATTCCACCTTTTACACTCAGTGATGAAGTCATTTAAAATCTCTGAGCGGAAAAACCTGGAAAGACTCCCATGAACTGATGCAAAGCGAAGTGAGCAGGACCAGGAGAACATTGTACATGGCAACAGCAATATTATGCAATGATCAGTTGTGAATGACTTAGCTATTCTCAGTAATACACCATCCGAAACGATTCCAAAGGACTTATTTCCAAAGAATTACATTGATTACTTTTTGTAACCAAATAAACATATTGTTATAGAAGTCCATCTTCTGTAGCCTAGATGAAAAATGCTAACCACCTCCAGAAAAAGAACTAATAAAATCTGAATGCAGATTGAAGCACGCTTTTTAAAATTTTCTTTATTATTCTTGGGTTTTTTGGCCTTCATTTTCTTTTGCAACATGGCTAATATCGAAATGTTTTGCCTGACTGCACGTGTAGAATCAAAATGAAATTGCTTGCCTTCTCAAGGAGGGAGAGAATTGGGAATGCAAAATTTTTAAAAAATGAATGTAAAAATTTTTTGTTTAGATGTAACTGAGAAAAAAGAATAAATGCTAATTTTACAAAGTCTCTGAACCTATTTCCTCAACTATACTATAGGGATAATAACAGCCCTCCCCCCTCAGAACTGCTGTGAGGATCAACCTTAAAGTGTTGTATAAATGTCAGGTTTATTATCATCATTATAATTATTATTCATTTGAAAAGTTTGCTGGCATTACAATGACAGAATGTTAAAAGCTGGAAAGGAACTTCCCATCACAGAAAAGAAGAAAGCAAATAATAATCCCAAACTGGTTATACTGGGGAGAGTGTAAAAGAGAACTCAGGGCTAATGACTTCAGCACCCCCTGGGTTTTCATCTGCACCATATCTCT